TTTTTTAAAGTAAATTAGTTGCGCAATCTAAATTTCATACTCAAACTCCTTTTCTTCCATTGGCGTAGAATTTTTAAAGGTGCAATTATTTAAAAAATCAAATTCTACGCCTATGTATTATTATCGGACAAAATTTTAATACCATTTTTTTGTCACATAAAACTCTACCAATATACCAAATTTCAGCAAAATCGCATAAGCCGTTTTAAATTTATATGGGAAAAACCATTTAAAAACTGTAACTTCAAGGCCCTCTGGAGCCCAAACGAAGCAACTTTGTACTAAGGTAATTTTACTTAAATCGACTTATTTTGGTCTAAGGAATATGTGGTATGTTTTTTTAAAGACCTTTTACAGACACCCTGTATATTTTATAATGGGAGTGAAATTGATCAATCTCTAAATTTGATTTTTTTGTAATAATAAAGTTTTATTGGCAAATAATAAAGTTTTATTGGCAAATATAAAATAAAGGAACAAAACTATGATCAATGAATACAGAAAACACATATAGTTACAGAAAAAATAGAAGCAGATAGGTAACTACATTTCATTAATGTCCATTATATTCTTGAAAAAATATGCTTCTTGGCCGTCGAAATGTTTCATTTCTGGATCTGGCAACACAGCTATTATGTCGGAAAAGCCAATTGGGAATAAATCATCCTCCATAGTTTGAAAAATCTTTTTCCCCTCTACTAGAACTCCCTAATACTTTCACCAGCAAAAAATTCCCTTTTTCTATGTTATCTTCGTTTGGGGTTAGATAATCTACTTCTTCCTGGATATCTTCTATTGGTTCATTGTCGGAATCATCGTTGGTCAGTAATTCAGGTGGACTGGATTGGCTATCTGAGTCTTCGACAGGCGCAGACACACTCTTTCCGGGTTCGACTACAAGCTTTTGCCTCCTTACACTTCGTCTGTTTGGTACAGCTGCAAATCTTTGCTGTTGCAAGTATTCAACCAGGACATTATTGACAATTTAATCAGGTTCTTCTTCGAGGTTTGTTGATGGAATTTTTCGCAAGACAGACTCAGGATCGAATGGTGCTATTCCAGTGGCTCTGAAAGACGCTATTAAGTCTTTTTTTACGGCGCCATTGGCGTCTTTCTTATCCATCTCTAGCAAGGTCGCGTTAAGCAAGTACGAAAAGTATTTTTTGTCTATGGAAGTCGAAACTTATTAGCAGCTTCCCATCTGGTTAGAACGACCCTCCAAGCGATTTTAAAAGGTCGGAAAAACCCGACATCCAATGGTTGGGTAATATGTGTCGAGTTCTTCGGTAGACACACAAATGAAATATCATTTTCGGCGCACAATCTTAACACATCGTTGGTAAAATGAAATGATAAGTTGTCTCCAATTATGATTTTGTAGCCTTGCAGTCTCTTGGCATGTGGCAAAAACGAAGAAACAAACCTATCACCAAAAGTTTGTGCGTCCATCCAGCCATGGTGTGTGAGGGTTGAAACGAGAACCCGCTGCGCAGCATCTTTCGTTACAACAGGGCAGTCCCTTTGGGCCTCTCTCGGTCCATTGTAGCCACATCTTCTCCGATTTATACGGAGTGGCCCAAAAGTCTGGAAACGGCCAATTATCTCGTAAATTGCTAATCCTAATTGTACAAAATTTGGGATACACCTATTTTGGGATACGAAGATTCCAGATTTGATATTTGCAATGTTGCCAGATTTGCCGTTTCTCTTATAATATTAGTTTGGTCTTTCAAATTTATCACCCTGTATATTCAGTCATTATTGGAATCTCCAATTTAATACGAGTGCAACCATATGTAACACTTATGATTTTATGTAGTCTGGAAGGTCTTAAATAAATAAAATAATCATGGAGAAATGTGGTAGACGCATTCTACCATCGATTAGGGTACTGTCAACTCACAAATGAAGCAGATTTTGAACACTTGCTAAAGTAACCATTATGTTAGAAATGTTATAATCTTTCAATTGTTACGTTTTAATTTAGTTGAAAATAGTTTGTATTAAAAAATTTATTGAGACACTTAGGCGTTGCCAGACTTATTTAATGTTTTTAGGACCTTCCAGACTACATAAAATCATAAAGTGTTGCATATGGTTGAACTCGTATTGAATAGGAGATTCCAATAATGACTGAATATACAGGGTGATGAATTTGAAAAACCAAAGTGACTAATAATTTTAAGAGAAACGGAAAATCTGGCAACATTGCAAATATCAAATCTGGAATCATTGTATCCCAAAATAGATGTACCCTAAATTTTGTACAATTAGGACTAGCAGTTTACGAGATAATTGGCCGTTTCCAGACTTTTGGGCCACTCTGTATATCACGTAAGGAGGCAAGAGCACACCCGACGCGGAGCCACACATCATAACTGACGTCGCACTTTACGTGAAGTTGCAGATACGTTCGGGGTATTTAGTGCCCCTGCGAAACAACATTCTCTTTTGACCTGGATCGTCTTGCAAGTTCGTCTCGTCGTAGTTAAAAATATGAGACGCCGGAACTCCTTGTAGGGTTGTTTGCAAATTTGCGAAATAATCTGTGATAACTTGTCGTGATACGTCGGCTCGAGATCGTTTGATGTTTGCTGCCAATTTATGGGACACATCATCTTTATATCTACGCAAAAGAGAATGTGCCCAATCTTTCCCTGGTAAGTTATTCTGAAACTTCTAGGTAGTTTTTGGCAAGTTGCCTAACATCTAACAGTGTCAAAGACAATCCCCATTCCCCACAGGTAGAAATAGCCTTAATGATGGATTTTTCTTCCTTTGTAGAAAAAACAGACTGACCACCATTTTTGCCACCACGTCGTATATGATAACGATTGTTTAGAGTCCCGTATGGAATTTTATACTTCTTTGATACCTTTCGTATGCCCCATCCATGGTCCACAATTTTTTCAAGGGCACGATCTATGTTCTCGTCAGAGTAGTTTTTGTAACTTCTCGCCTCAAGCTTTTTTTATAAATCCGAGGCATGGTCTCAGATCCCTAAAATAAGAGATAGTGGGTGTAAGCAACAAATTCAGTTATCTTATTTGTTTAGAAAGGCGATCAAAAGCACCCCACACCGACGATCAATTTCACCCAACAGTTGTGATCAATTACACGTCACGAGAAATTTTTTGAATTTCCCGCTTCCTGACTTTAAACATTGTCAAATTGGTAGTGTGAATTACATAACAAAATATCACAATTTACGATATTGGAGGTAAATAAACTTTAATACAAACAGTTTTCAACGTACCTTGGAAAGTTCTCGATGTACCAAAAATGATGAGAATGTAGAATCACTTTAAATCTTATTTTTTTATAGAAAAACTTGAATATTTTGCCGAACACAACACACATACGTTCTCGTTGTTCATTAAACTAAATGAAACAAGGTTGCCAACTTGCAACTTTTAAACAATGCGAGCGCCAAATTCAAAAATATTGAAGTTTGAATTAGTGATCAATTTCGACCCACAGAATCAATTTGGCCTCCATTTTACGGTACACAAAAAAATTACTTTCTAATTGGTAAATATTTTTCTGTCGTTTTCTTTGATAAACTAAAAACTATTTTTTCATGTATATTATTCTTGTTCGTATCCTGCTCATACATAGTATATTACTTCAAAAGTGATCGTTGTATTAGGATATGAAACTACAGTTTTATCTGCTAAAATTTTAAAATACCTATTTATTTACTTTGCTTAATGAAGCCTCATGCACCTGTTGGAATTCAATTTTTTTTTGCTTCTATGTTTAACAAGAGGAATCTCTAAGCTACTTTTCTCAAAGTGGATAGAGCCAATTCGTGCTAAAATAAAAAAAATATATAACTTTTCACTATCTGTAAACCTATTATACATATGCATTTTAGTAACTATTGTTTAAATTAAGTTTGTCCTTTCTTCGACAAGAATTTACTCACATTTTGTCGCATTCTGAAATATCTTACATTACACTATTTTAGGTTTTCGTATTACATATTTGGAGTGAGGGTAGCCATATGTGAGTAGTAGGGATTAAGTGTAAGGGTTAAAGAAAAGGTCCTTTATTTCTCACAAGTCAATGTGAGAAATAAAGGACCTTTTCTTTAACCCTTACACTTAAGTATTACATATTGTTTTTGCAAGTCGCCTTCGCACAGCCCGGCAGTTCTTCTGTGTTATATATAGGAAAATATAGTCACAATTAACACAAAACCAAGTAAATTATTAAATTATTTTACTCTATTCAGTCGAAAAGCATCAAAATAACTTTTTATGCCCCTCCCGCATTACATCACTGCGTGGTTTGGACGAAATTTAAATCGAAAGTCAGCATACCGTTAGTCTGTGTATCGTGAATTAGTAATAAATGTTCTTCTGAATAGGATGAAATATTAATTAATATGGTAAAGGATAAGTGATAAGCAGAATGTTGCAAAGACAATTTTGTTAAAAATTATGCTTGATTTTGCTCATTACTAATAAAAAACTAAAAATTTTTCTTCGTCTTCTTCCTCCACTAAAATAATCGCTACTACCGCGTTATTTAAGTCCTGGAAACTCATTTTCACCTGAATGTATCAACAGAACAAGTAGTTGAACTGATTTATATCCTAAAAATCCACTTTTACTAAAACTGACGTGAGACGAACGCGACAGATTCTGCCGTACGCGTACGTCGAGCGTCGCGCACTGTTCTAACAAATCGTAGCTTAACAAACATCTTAGTTAGATCCCCAATTATAAATATGAGCAATATTTTAAAGAAAGGCCTATTAAAGGCTTATAATGAACTAAAATTCATTTTTTCATTAGGATTAAGGGTGAATATTTCCAAAAGTAATTATTGAAATATTTTTAATATAAATAAAAAGATTTGAATTCTACTTCCAATATTTATTTGTTTTTTTGCTTCGATTGTTAATATTTATCCGAGCTTCATTATAATTAGTCGAACAATTCTAGTAAATAAATTAATTTTAGGTTGCCAGAGAAATTAAACTACATACCTACCTAAAAGTGGACTGATCATCCATAACGTGAATATCTGAGAAAATAATTGTTTGTTGATGCCCAATTCGTCGCTGTTAATAAGTGTATCGCAAATATGTTCAACGGTGGTATCTTTATCTTCCATTTCCATCATAACAGCCGTGTGGTTGTGAAAGTACACGCATGCATGCACACTGCGATAATCTTCAAAAGTTCTTATAGACGATTTACTTATTGTTGATGTTGACGCAGAAGATGTAGTTGCATCTGAAATAAGTTTTAAATATTTATTATTTAGTGACAGAAACAAATTTTATAAACAGGGTGTTTTAAAATTAGTTGTAAATATTTTATACAGGTGATGTAACCCAAACATACTGCGATGGATGTATACTGCAATAGTGAGACCAATCATTTTATACAGGTGATGTAATCCAAACAGACTAGCCTGTGTTTGCATCACCGGTGCAATGAAAACCTGTCCTACGGCCGCAATGGAGGTGATCTTAAACCTCACCCCTCTACATTTGATGATAGAGAATGTGGCAAAAAGAACACGATATAGAATGATCATGAACGGAGTAATCAGACGAAAGTCTACTTGCTTCAGGACTAAAGATACCTGGGATATGCCCCAGGATGAAATGCTAAAGAAGTACAGTTTTGTGAAAAACTTTAAAACCACAGAGCTGGGCTGCAAGAAAGAATGAAGCCAAAAATCCATCGCGCTTGCAACCGAAAGACATGCTATTCAGTGGTATACGGACGGTTCCAAAACCATAGAATGAACTGGAATAGGAGGCCGAGAACCAAGCACTCCGAAAGATTGGGAAAATACCCAAGCATCTTCCAGACGGAAATTCACGCCATCGAGAAATGTATCCAGTTTAACATCGACAGAAACTATCATAGACAAGAGATTATCATCATATCCGATAGCCAAGCAGTCGTCAAGGCGCTGAGCTCTTACGTAATCAGCTCAAAAATGGTCTGGAGATGCCTAGAACAATTGAATGAGCTAGACGAGAAAAATAGAGTTATTCTCACTTAGGTCCCCGGACGCGTATTACCATTGTTTACTATTATCCAGAGCAATCATCCTCCGAAACGCAGTAGAGAATGGCCTAGTAAATATGCGTATTTTGTATTGCCAACGTTTACTCCGATTCGGCACATTACCATTATGACAATGTTCTGAATCGTAGTAACCAATGGTTTTAAATACGCGCGTAATTTAGATTTCCAATCTTTACTGGTATTCAAAACAACTTTTAAAATGAATCTGAATCGCAGTAGATTTTAGCAATAATATAGACGCGTTCATTGTCTACTGCACTCTGATGGTTATATATTTAACAATATCATAATTTGTGTTATTTTTTGCATAAGGGCATATTATTATTATATGTTTAGGGTTTTGGTACCGCTATTATAGGAAAAAAATAAAATAATAATAATTAACTAATTAACTAAGGCGCACATATTACAAGCCTTACACCTTTGTAAAACGATATCTTTAAAAATTTGTATTGAGAATTCTACATAAATTTTTTGTGTTGTTACCTCTTGTCAACACATCCTTTCTAAAACACAAACACCATTCTTCTTTCCGTACCCAAAATTTGCTTAAGCCTTGGTTTCTTTGAACACTTCGTCGCGGTGAGCGGACAGTCCGTCAACCGTCGCGTTTTGACGATTTTATCCAACCAGAGTATTTAAATGGGAATGGTTTTCTTGAATCCGCTTAGTTGAACAGGACGGCGTCATGCCGCTGATTTGTCGCGAAGAGTCGGTTGATATCTGTTGAGTTTGATATCAGCGGAATCGTCGTTGTGTGCGGAGACTATATTGTTATTAATTTTAAAACAATTAGTGACAAATTCACATACAGATGACATCATGACTTTATTTTTAGGTTTCTTGGAAATTATGTCCTTTAATAAAACTCAACACGAATTCAAAAAGATCTGTAGAAAGTCTAAAATACTCCCTAAATTTGATTTCATTTCCAAAAAGCCTCCACTGCACAGTGATATTAAAGGCACCTTCCGTATCGCGACACAAAAACAACTCATTCACTGGCTTATTGGAAACTTTGACGGTTGCAATTGCCAGTTCCTCTTGTTCTTCCTCTTCCAACAATAATAACGCAAACAATTTATTTGCAACCATTTTAGTGCCTTTCGTTTACATTCATAATACAGACATAGAGAAAGTATAATTTTCTATATTTTTTAACAAACCACCTCGGGCGAAAATTGCTGTCCTCAGCGGTCGACGGACTGTCCGCTCACCGCGACGGAGTGTTCAAAGAAACCAAGGCTTTACGTATGTTTTTAGGTGATCATATTTCTGAACAATATCGTCTTTCATAAATTCATTAAACTAGTCATTTGCTTCTTCAACTGTCAAAGCATACATAATACGTTGAAATAACCTCATTATATGCCTTCGGTTTTCTTTCGGAATACTATTATGACCATTCCACAGCCAACGCCAAAAAGCCTGGCAAACATAAAATATACAGAGATATAAACGCGGTCTTTAATTTTCTGACACAGAAAATACAGATAATAAAGCGTTTATTTCAGCCACACTGCCGTCTGTCATAAAAACCTGGGGATAAGGAGCATTACCAAAACAATCTTCTGGAAGAGACTCTTTTAATAAACTGAAAGCTTCAGTTTGTGCCGTATGTAAAATACAACCTAACGGAATGGCACCAACTTTTGAGACAGTAAACATGAATGTTACGCAGGTATTAGTTTGGTCGACGAATACTACTTCCCGTGAAAACCATTATTTATGTGCACGTAACATTATGGGAGTCAAGATGACAACAATTAGTGGATTTTCTTAAATCACTATTTTACCCATGCCACTTTCGTTATACAGAACAGACTTTTTTCGTAAGACATTTAACACACTTAATTGGTCACGCCCTCCAAAGTTGTTGGATCTAGACTACTAAAAACAATGAATATTTTAGATCTATTAACGAAGGCTTACACGTGAAATATCCTTTCGACACTAACCAAATACAAATATGGCGGCGATAAGTCGGCGCTATACTGCAGTAAACATTGACCACTAGCAACGCGTGCCGTAAAGAACCATTGCTTACTGCGATTCAGAACACTGTCATAATGGTAATGTGCTGAATCGCAGTAAACAGTGGCAATATAAAATAGGCGTATTTATTAAGCCATTCTCTACTGCGTTTCGGAGCATGATTGCTCTGGATAATAGTAAACAATGGTAATACGCTCCCCGCGTATAACGGGGTACAGGGTAACGAGATTGCAGATAGTCTTTCAAGGAAAATGACTCAAACGCCTTTTGTAAGACCTGAGCTGTTCTGCAGTATCAGCAGTAACATAATATTAGGAGAGATTAAAAAAGAATTGGGCAGTATAAGAACCGATAATTGGAACACTCTCTTGGAGCTGAGACAGGCTAAGATACTTCTGGGTGAATATAACCAGAAAAGATCGGAATCATGCATCTGCCTAAGCAAGAACAGGCTACGTATTGTAACAGGAATCCTTACTGGGCATTGCCGACTAAAAGGATACCTTAGTAAACTGTAAGTAGTAAAGGATAGTGAGTGCAGATTCTATGAGGAGGACGACGAAACCTCCATTCACATTCTAACTGAATGTGTAGCACTCCAGAATCCAAGAGCACTATACCTAGGAGGATATCAAATAACTTGAAGCCACTCCAAATCCTACACTTCCTTGAGAAGATAGGATTGGAAGGGTCGTTATAGGCATTGAGACATTTCCTTGGTGCATTAGCGACAGAAGGGGTACTATAGATCTTTTAGGTCGGAGTGTATTAAATATTTTGTGTTTATTTTCATAAAGAAAATGATAATTTCAAAATTTTACCATGAATTCTTTCAAAAATATAAAATAAATAAAAAAAGAGTACCGACAGTTATAGACAGACGTATATTTATATTCTCGTTATTAGAACGTACAATTTAGTTTAAAAGTTGACGCGTCTCAGTGTTTTTGATAATTTTTTAAAATAGGGCAAAAAATAATTTTATTCCACACTTTATATAAAATTTGTTATATATTTATAGTATAAAACTCATTGTTATTAATTATATATGCTATAATAAAGACTAAATTATCTAAAACCGCTCTTTACGTAGTAAACTAATTGCTTTGTACTTGCCTTTAACTTTTTTCTTTTCAACCGAAGTCTCTTTACTCTCTGCAGAGCTATACATATTTTCCTTATTATCCCAATCATTTTGTTTCGTTGGATATTTCATGGGTTCTTTAAATCCTCCATTAATTGTTGCTAAGTTGGAATAACTGCTGTTAGCTGGCGGAAGTCTTTGTGAAACAGAATATAAATAATTGGGCAAATCTTCTGTTTGTGCGTAATCATCATGTGTCTGGCTAAAATAAAAAGAGAAGAAAATATTAAATATTTTGGATAAAAATAGTAAGCTCTAACTATAAAAAATATTAAATATTTTGTAGAAAAAAGAGTAGAGAAAGCAAAAATATTAGTTAAATGGTAAAATACTAAAAATAGAAGAAACCTAAACCTATACAGGGTGGTTTCTAAGTTGATTTGTTTGTTCAACTGTGTATACAACTACTTAAATGAAACAACTTTTTTTAAATTACTAAAAATAAGGGAGATAAGCTAATTTAAAAAGTCGAATAATCTGCGATATGATGGTTGATAATTTTTTTTGTTGGTGTTCATCGCGTGATAGATTTCAGTTAATTTGTGACTGTTTTTGAGTTATTTATAAACAAATATTTTAAAAAGTTGCTTCTTTTAAGTAGTTGTATACACAGTTGAAAAAAAAATTCAACTTAGAAATCACCCTGTATATAAATAGGCAACCCGGCTCTCTTAGTTTTAATACTTGCAATTAAATTTGTTTCATAAAGTTTGATTCAAAGTTAAGAATGTGGACCAAATAAAAATAAAATACTATTATTTATCGACTCCACACAAAAATAACTCATTTTATTGTATATTTAATCTTAATAACTAAAAAATATAGTGACAATTAATTTGATAGAATTGTCACTTATTTCAAATTTTAAATATTATAATAGTAGTTGGGTGCCCAAATTATGAACTGTGATTGGTCGATTTAATTTTTTTGCAGTGTTCTTACTACCTAGAATGGATATTAAATATATTCGTTCAGTTGAACGCAATAGCATACTTTTTGTAGCCTGTGCGTGGATAAGCTAATATCCATGTGGATGTAGAAAAAAATATTTTTAATGTTTATTTTATAAATTAGTAAAATTCATAAAATATTTTAAAGTTAGTTATTTTGTCTTAATAACCTAAAATAATTTTTGAAATTTGTAGATTTTCGTTAGTGGATCGTAGAAAAAATATACTGTCCATGTCCACTCTTGTTGCACAACCTACTATTTATTATCTGACAAATAATGTTTTTATATTTTGAAATATAAGAATAAAACATTTTAAAAAAGTTTTCTACACTTTTTAAACGTTTCTACACAATCAGATTTAAACACATTGTATACTTGCAAAATATATGTACATTCATATAATTTTTATAATAAAATACCGATTGTCCCTTTTTCCGCTCCTTTAGGGTTGCCATCTTTTTGAAAAGTGAAAAAAGGACAACGATGCTGACAGGGGCTCTGGTATACAAAAAGTTCTCATTCTTCTAGTAAACTTCAAAAAAAAAAAGGCGTCGATCTGAACGAAAGAAATCCTCCTCGTCTTACCGAGCTTCTAAAAAAAGAATCCTCAGCTTTTATATATTTTTGTACCAACCATGTTCCTTCCAAAAATATGTGCTGTCAGTCAAAAAAGACATTTGTCGTAGAAAAGAAAATACATTTCTCGTAAAAGAGGACATTTGTCGTAGTAAAAAGGACATTTTAAGCTTTAAAAAGTCACAAGGACATTTTGCTTCAAAAAAGGACAGGTGGCAACCCTACGCTCCTTCATAAAAATATAACAACGTTGTTGGTTTTGACTTGTTAGTTGTTCGATATAAATTTGAAATTTTCAGGTCGCACCATCTATTTAAAAGTAGGTGAACTGTTGATGTAATGTTGGTTGCGGTAATATGGTTAAAATTACGTTAAAATTAAATAATTTTCTGCTGTAAAGAACTTGTAAATGAAAGAAAAAAATTAAATATTTATATGTGAATTTTAATGGGAATATATTCTATTTCCTAAAATAGTTTTTATAGCGATATTTGATAACTTTTTAACATGTAAAATTTTCATAATTTCGTTCTTTTTTCAATTTTCTCATTTTTTTTTCACTTTTCATTATATTTAGGAAATACCATTAGAATATTATAAAACCAAATTGTTGAAAAATTCTCCTATGCTAATACATTTGCTAAATCTAGTACATTCTGAAAGAAACTAATAAATAAAATATTTTTTCTAATTTTGACATATAAAATGACATTTTCTGTAATCGCAGCATGTGTCAAGATGATCTACTTTACGCAATCAGTTGCATAATTTTAAACATTATGGAACTGATTTCGAAAAACTCATTTTTCAGTAATCAAAAATCAATAATATATATTATTATTAAATGTTTATATCAAAGAAGGGCAGGTTGACTTATAAAAATAGAATTTGTTTAAACTTACAACCTAGTAATAATGCTGTTTTGTTCTTTCTTTTCCCTTCTAAATCAGCACAAAATAATTAAAACACAATACACGACAAAACAACCCCCATTTTTTTGAAAAATAAATAGCTTTAATAAGCCACTACAAGTCGTTGAAATAAATAATTAATATTATATTCTATTTGTTAATAAAATGCATACATATGCAACTAACAATACAAGAAAGTGGTAATGATGGTTGCCTATACGTCAGTAATGTTTTTCCAAAACACAGTTTTATAAAATAAATATTCTAGCCAAGTTAGAAAAAATATAGTATGTAACACGTTACGAAATGCCGTTTTATGTAACTCAATCATGTTGCTGGACCTCGCTCTGCTCGTCCAGCAAATATTCACTCGTTACATAAGATAAGGCATCTCGTAACTTGTTGATAAATAGCTATTATTGTCCTAAATTTGTTTCCTATACCGTATAGGTACATAATTGTAGAAAATAGTTTTTTGACAAAATGGCAATTAGTTTGATTAATTAGGTGTGCCCCCAAGTAGTGTTAGCCTTACAAATTTACGGTCCACTCCTGGCCATAGAAAAAGTATATTGTTCAACTACAAGGAATGCTCATTTCCTGAGTACCATTTCCTGTTCGTAAAACAATAATTATACTTCAAGAAGGTGATAGGAGTCTATAAACAAAATTGAGCAAGTCAAGAAAAATTAAAAAACTAACATTTAAAAACTTGCATTCTTGTTTTATTTCTAAATAATTGTACTATTTCGATATCTATATTCTAAAATAATCTTCCAATCCAAATTGTTTTATTTCTTTTGAAACCAAAATAATTGTTTCTAATAGATAGAAGAAAAAAATGAGTAGTTAAAGCTTTGCATACATGCTGCAAAAAATAAAGAATTTTTTTCTCTAGAAGATAAAATGTGCAAAACTAATAATTGTAATAGTGCTCAATTTAATTAACATCCAAATATTAAGTTAAAAAAATCTTACTTTTGCCACATTATTAGTCGCTTATCGATTTTGTGGAAATTGGAGATATTAAGCTTTTAAAAAAATATTAAATTTGTAAACAGATCTACATTTTTCTTGTAATAATCGTACGTAGAGAAAAAGCGAGTTTTCTATATCACGCTATCTGAACAATACTGTAGGAGAAAAATGTTCAGAATAGATTCAGGAGAATTGGGGTTGCACGTCGAGGACACATGCGCATAATATACAAAATGGATCGGTAATCAGAAGCGCCAACTATGTGGGGGGATGCGAAGCGTTAAACCTTTGAAGAAAATTATAAATTATAAACCTTCATTCACACATAACAAATTTTAAATAAATTAATATTATTTTGAATAAAGTTATAAGAATGCCTACAGTCAATAATTAATTGGTGAATAAAAAAGAAACAACTGAAGAATGTTTACAGTCAATAATTGGTGACTAAAATAGAAACAACTGATATCCATTGACGTAGATAGGAGAGAATTAAGGGGATCAATCTCTCTCCCCATAAGTCTACGAAAATTATGAATGTAATAAAGATAAGGCTCTTCATATATGTATATTTATGTATACATGAAATTCATATCCCCCCATCGCAAAAATCTATCTACGCCACTGTGTTTTATAACTTTTATAAATTAATTACTTGTTTTACACAATATTATAAGCATTGGAGATAAATTCATAGCTAATATTTGCTGGATGTTACACAAGTAGTTATTTCGAATACCGGGTGTCCCATTATATTTTCCAACATTTAGCAAACTTATAACTTTTAAACCAAAGTACTTAAAAACATGCGGTTTTCACCGAAATGTATCAAATTATTCCAAGTTTTATTTCGGTCAATCCAAAATTATTTAGCATTTTCGGTTTACTGAAAAACAAAATGGTGGTTTTTTAAAGACGTATTTGTTAATTGTTTTTAATGGAACAACCTGTATATTTTTTTATGTTCGGAAAGAGTCGTTTTAGCTATCTAGCGATATAAAGTTTTTTGAAATCGATGAAGAAATAACTGAACAATTAAATTTTCAGAAAAAGCCTGCAAAATCAATAATTAACAATAATTCTCATCAATAATTTATGTGAAAATGTATTCAAAATCAATAGTCAACAATAATTATTGCTTATTAATGATATTCTAGTATAACCTAATTATCTTATTTAACATTTTAACCAACTTTTATTAAACAATTTAAGAATAATTTAAATGTTCTATATGTCCTCCGTTTGCATTAACACAATTGTGTAAACGTATTAAAAATTTGTATATGCTTTTTCTAACATGTTGTGAGTAATGCTTTCAAATGCTCGACGTATATTATCTTAGCTCTTTTAAATTTTGAGGTGCAGAATTATAAGCTAAAGCATTAACATATCCCCAAATAAAAAAATCTAGCACTGTTAGGTCTGGCGAATTTGGAGTCCATTCAACTGGTCCTGTCCTACCAATCCAATTATTACCGAATTTATTAGAAACTGTTTGTCGAGCAATCAGTGAATAATGGGGAGGTGCTCCATCTTGTTAAAAATAGATTTCATGTAATTCTCCATCCTGGTCAATTTGCGGGTAAAAAAATATTTCTAACATGTCCGTATAAATTGGACCGGCAACTGTTATTTCGGCAAAAAAAAATGGCCCGTAAATCTGTATTTACTCACAGCACACTAAACATTCAGTTCAGGAGAGTCTCTTACACTTTCATAAAATTCATGTGGATTCTCTTCACTCCAAATTCTACAATTGTGTCTATTGACGGCTCCATTAACATGGAAACTTGCTTCATCAGATATTATTTAAAAGGGCTCAGGATTATTTCTTATCAAGTCCAATAACGTCTCACATATATATAGACGTTTTTATTTGTCTTTCTCGTATAATTTTTGGTTGAATTTTGTAAGGTTTCAGTTTCAGTGCTTGTATTCTATGAACTTTGAATCTACTCATATTAAAATGTGACGCTATTTTTCTGATAGATGACTTGGGAGATTTAGTAACAAACTGGTATAACCATTTAGTCCCTTGCAATATTAAAGCCTTTGGTTTTCCGAAACCTAGTTCTATTAGTTATTGATTTAGTGAACACGGCTTGCGTGAAAATATGGGCAACAAATACCTTTAATTTTTGTCAAGAAAAATCGAATTTTCCATGTTATCCCCAGGAGCCACTCCTAAATGTACTTTCAGTCTATTCAAAATCGATGTACTTTTCAATCCTCTGCGAGACTTATATGCGAAAATGGGGCACTTAAACATGTCATTGCCTAATGGTCTACTACGAGTTACTTTCAGCCCCTTAATCCGACTGAGCTTGTGTGGGTAAAGGACAGATATTATTATATTTTTCTGTGGTGCTCCTGGGCGACGACTTAAAGATGATTTATGGTACCATTTGACTTACAGGTGAGGAAAATCCGGAAAACCTTACCCACCATCTTCAAAACGGTAACGCATGGCAATTTATAATCTAGATATCATATCTGCTAATACAGCACACATCAAATCCATGCAATTTAATTAAAAATTCACATGGTCTGCTGTAGGATTCGAAACTGCTTTGTCTCTACATCACATACTTGCCTATAAATGAATATAAGCGCGTGAGACAACTACGGTGCGACCCGATGTTCCTATTTAAACCACTTTCATGCCTGATGATAGTCAAATGTAACCGAAACTAGTTTCCCTAGTTTAATTATAATTATTACATCTAAGACAAGACAGAGTTTTTTTTTTTCCTTATACAACATTTCAGACATAGATAACTTTCTTATTCTTTGAAAAAATGTTCCCGAATTAAACAAGGATATCGGAAATTCCCTTCCACCCATCCCATCTAGTCCTTCAATTATATCTACGTCAGGCGACGAGATACATTTTTAATATCTGCATACGGCGTTTGGACGCTGGACGCCGCGACGGTGGCCGGGCATTAGCGCTGGGGCTGCGCTGGGTCGAATTTAGATTTACTCACTGCGATGTCCACGACGCCACGCCAACGGACGCCGTGCAGCGCCGCGACGGCCAGTCACGTCCGATCATGAAGCGCGACGAAAAGTCGACCCCTCTGAAAGGGACTCTAATAAGAAGTAAAGCGAAAGCGTGAGGTTCTTTAACGTGGAATTAAGTAAACTCATGCGAGGGTTTTCCTATATGTGAGATGTATCAAATATAATTTTAAAATCTCCGTGATGGAGAGTTTATTTGAATTAAGATAAATACGTAACCTGACCAACATTTAGTCGGCCTAAGACCTGCAAAGTTTAAAGAAAAATTAACCGAGGATTTCTAATAATTTATACTTCATGTCGATATTGTACTACGCTCACGTCCGCATTTCAGATAAGGTATAGCGGGTATAGAGGCTCAGGTACCGGAGGCATAAACGATTGTCGAAATGTACATGGTATTATTAGAAGAAAAAATGTTTGTAACTGCACTATTTGCGCTGTATTAAAAATTATTGTTATTATGATTTTCTATACTTTTGTTATAAAAATTAATTGAGATTGGGGGATTTCAATTAATTTGTAATAATGAAAGATTTAGGTTAAATTTTTATTTATTAATCACTTGACATTTGTTATATGTATAAATTAGTTGAAATTGGCGAATTTTAATTAATTTGGAATTAAGATTTAACTTAAACTCTATATTAATGGATGGATTATAAAGTGACCAAGACGTAAAATAAAATATAAAAATAAATTCTCGAAGCCGCAATACACAAATTAATAATTCATAAATTATTTTGTGACATATATGGCTTCCAGTATTAATTTTTCTATTTTATTTAAAATATTTATTAGCTTTCTAAATAGAGGTTGGAATATTAATCTGTCTTGTAAGTTTTGAGAAAAATGCAAAAAGCTTTTAAATAATTCGTTTTTATTTTTATTGTTAAAAACTATGGACTTTACAAAATAGTAGTTTTTTTGGGCGCGTTTCTATATTTTTGTGCGGATGATTTGTGCGAGTATGTTTATCTCAGGAACGGGCATGCGTTTTATGATTGAATCAGTATTTACGTCTACTACGCTTGCTTTACACTACTGTCTCACATCAAAATTATTTGCGTACTTTCCTGATAAACACTATACAACTATCATAGTTGTAACGAGAAAATATATTAAACTGATAATAACTGGCATTAAGAATGCACATACACTTCCCTAATGTAATTTTGAAAGCCTTTTGTGCGCTTTAGAACCTTATGTTTAATCAATACCGAATTATAGCCAAACAATTCTTGTAACAATACTCTTCCATACTCTCTCATAAGAATTTGACAAGTACGTGGGTGACACCGTGAATGTTTGCAATTCGATTTTTGTAAACAAAATTAGTCTAGTAGTTTTTTCTTGTTGTATAATACACATTCTGTAATATACCAAGTGAACAACTATCAGAAACAAGTCACTGATGCCAGGATTCTGCGCAGTAGACTATTGGAATCGCCAAATTATATAGTGAGAAATGGGCATCGATTTATGATTTATTTTTGATCGTTGTTCGAACATACCTTTAGTTTATGTTAATTATATCGTGGGCGTACAATGAAAATTTACCACGTCGCTTTTTTGCAAATTTGTGATAACTGAAACGATGAAGTCCAGTATTGTTTAATTTTATCTAAAAAAATCCATAAAAAGTCCATAACTACGGTCAATTTAATAATAATAACAAACGTGTTCATTTTCATTTTATTTTCCATTCCCTAATAAATATTGGAAAAATATTCAAATCTATTTTTCTGGAAACCACTAGTGGATTTTCTTTGTACGCCCACGATATCACGATATCGCTTATTACTTATGATAAAATTATTATTTGAAAACATTAGAAACCTTAGGCTTTTGCCTAATATTAATCAATACTAAATTTACGAATTTTTGCACACTGTTTTTGGAAGTATCAAACCGATATTAAATTTATTTAATTTTATGTCATTTACGATAATACAATCTTGAAAATTCAAAAATGTACTAAGGGCCAATTCTACCGTTGTGTTAAAGTTTAAATTACTGAATCTATGGTTGATGCGCCCGTGGTACTTGCGGCCACTATCGAAAAGTGTGGTATTTGCGCCCTATCGTACTTTTCAAGCTTACCTGCTTTTCAAGAAGGGTATACTCAGTG